TTCAATTTAGAAAGTGAGTCAGATTAATGAAATTATTAATAATGGAGCTAGGAGTACAGAGACAAAGCCAAGATTATGGCGATGGTATGCAGGTGGCAGGGCTTGGGGTGCCTGCTCTGCACTGGGCATGGATACCCAAGTGCCAGGTGGTTGAGGCGAAGCTTGGAACTAAGGTGAAGGTGTTGGCTGGCTTCTGCACTGGCCCCACCCACCTGTTCCTCTCTCCTACTGACTGCCCACTTGGACTCTGTTCTGAACTCTCTTGCGTTCCTTCACTCCGAGGTCTCTGCTGGTGTTGTCCTAACCCTGAAATGCCACCCACCCCCACCCAAGCTCAGCTCCAGGGATCTTGAAGGAGCAACTGAAACCTCCACGAATCCAAATCGGAAGACACTGTTCCCTCTTCCACATAAGACTGTACGACGTCGGTTGCACTGCATTGCTTACTGCCTGGCCCTTTGCGGTCTCTCATCAACCAGCTCCCCTTTGTCCTGTATTTGTGCCTGTGAAGGGATGAGACTGCCTTATGGTTCTGTCTCTCAGGTACTGTATGTCTTGCTCAGTAAAAATATTTATGGTCTTGTTAATTTAAATATATGGTAAAACAATCTAAGGGTCTCTAGAAGGATGTAAACAGCTTGAAAATAGATCAATGCCATAGATTTATACAGGAAAGGGTGTGTAGTGTACTTATCTAATGAACAAGTTTTATTGACTGCTTTGGAATTAATAGCATGAAGAATTCAATTTTTATTGCTGTAATCAAGGATGACATCAAGAAGAGGAATGCACGGTGACTAAGAAGCCACCTTTAGCAACCACTTGACACTCTGTATGTATCTGATTAAAAAGCTGGAGCACTCTTTTTTTTTTCTTTTTTCTTTCTTTCTTTCTTTTTTTGGAGACATGATCTTGCTAAGTAGTCCAGGCTGGTTGAACTCATTGCGTAGCCCAGTCTGGCCTTGAACTTGTGATCCTCCTGCCTCAGCCTCCTGAGCACTGGCATTACAGGCATGCGTGCCCAGCTGTAACACCTTTCCACCAGCTTGTATGTGTATGTTTGTGTGTTTCATGAACATTTTCAGGGTTGGGCCCTATGTATGTAAATATAAAAATTACCACCACATTCACTACCCAAATTGAGACCATTTGAAAATCACTCCAACATTTTGCCAGGACTGTCCATTTCATAATTTTATTATAGACAACCTCACATATAGGTTTAAGATACCAGCCCAGACCATAGACAAGGTTATTTTTCATCATCCTTTTGACTGCCCAGCAAAAAGCTTTTTCCAATAACGAAAGGAGCCAAACCCTTGAATTTCATCAGTTTGTCCTCATGCAAACTATGACTTAGAATTGCTAAACAGGCTTACTATCCATGATGAGTGGGAAGCTAGCCAGGACTCCTGGGCACAGGGCGTTCTGAACCCACTTCCTGGACTGCCCACCAGCAGCACTGCGTGTGACAATAAAGTGACAGTATTGGATTTCCCAGTCTGAATTATGTCAGGCCATCAACAGAATCCTGGCTGAGCATCCGGGCTGCAGCTTTTCACATCATTCTCTGAGGCTTATCCTTTCCCATCTCCCTCTTAGCGATTATGTTGATGAGCTCTAATCTCACAAAACCACAACTCAATCCTCTGAACCCTGTTTGGGTAAGGATAATCCAAAGGAAAATTTCTCCCACCTGGTGGTGGATTATTGCTAGTAAAAAAAATCCTGCATATCTTGGGGCAGGGTGTATATAATAGTTCTCTCTACTTTCTGCTCAAGTTTATTATACATCTAAAACTGCTCTAAAAATTATATATATATATATATATATATATATATATATATATATATTCATGATCATTTCTTCCAAGGGACAAACCTTAGAACATGAGTTAGCATCTTAGAAGAATGTTCTTAAGTGGGCTTTCATCATAATGGCAAACATTCATTAAAAGCTAAGTGCAGGCCAGGCACTGTTGAGGCACTTTTCTTGTATTAAGTCATTTACTACTCCCAGGATCCGAGGAGGGAAGCACTTTCCTGTCATTTGCATTTCAAAGAAGCGCTGCACAGAGATGTACCGTCCTAGCCCAAGCCTGAAAAGATAAACAGGGCAGAACCAGGATTCCAGCCCCGGCAGCAGAGGGTCTAGAGTTGGCTGCTTTCACTCATGGCCTGAGGACACAGAGTAATAGGACAAAGCTGAGGCATTGCTGGTTTTGCCCAGAGAGAATAACCAGGGCACATCACGTGCCGTACCACTGCTCCCTGCTGTACTCCAGGGTAACCGAGGATGCCTCATGTCAGTAAGTCCTGCAGACAGGCCCCGCTGAATCACAGTCAGTTCTGCTTTAATGAAGGCCTGGAGCTTTTAGCCAACCCAGAGTGTGAGTAGGCGCACCCTCTCCCCTGTTCTTTTTGTAACAAGCTCTCTCTTGCTTTTGGAAATGTACTTCACAGCCACATCCCAACACCTGGTTGTCCCAGAGCAAGGCTCCCCAAATCCTCAGTCCTAAGAGGCTACTAAACTCAAAGGCAAAAAGACGGCATTCTGTATCCTAAATAGCCTCCCATCAAAATGCTTTACAGAATGAAAATTATATATATACACATATATATGTATATATATATAAAACAGGATATGCCAAGAGCCAAGAGCCACAGCAGAAAGGAGAACAGAAACCAGAGACAAGTACAGGGCATTTGTGTGCACTGAAAAATGAAAGCGGATGGTTCAGCCACTGGAGTTGTACACATGTCCTTTCACTCTTCCTCTCCTGCCTGGATTTAGCCTGCACCTATTTTTGAGCCTCAGTGACGCAGCTGTATTTGAGAACTCCTAAACTGGAAAGACATCCTTTTCTGGAGCTCTCGCTGAACCTGTGACCCTGAGATGGGTAGAAAAGTCCACTTCCACAACGGTGAGCCCATCTGCAGTTCACTCCAAATGGCAGTTTTGTGTGGCTCTGGATCAAGATGGGGAGATCATCCCAGACCTCAGGAGCCATTTCACGTTTTTCGTTAGCAAAACTCAAGCAGGAGCAAACCGTACTGGTCTCAGATGGTTTCCCTCGCGTGCATGCAGCCGTGTGTATGGCCACCAAGCAGCTCTGTAAAGAACCAGAACATTGAGGATCAGAACCAAGTGTGCACTCACATGGATACACATATGCCCTACACCGCTAACTGGCAGCAAATCTATTTTTAAATTTTTATTTTTAAACGTATTTTTTTTTAAACGTATTTTTAATAGACAAAAATTGTACATATTTATGGTATACACCATGATGTTTTGATACATGCATACAGTATGGAATGGCTATATCAAGAAGCTAGATGTGCACAGCGCTTGCCTGGAAAGTACAAGGTCGTGAGTTTGATTCCTGGTACTGGAAAAAAACAAAAAAGAAGCTAGGTGCATACAGATTGCCTTACATGCTCATCTGGTAGCAAATCTAAAGCGCTTTTCTGGGAATCAGACCTGTTTTAACACAGTCAGGGGTATGGGGTTCTCTCGCTAAGATCTTTTGTAACCAAAGCCCAGCTTTTTGTTGCTTGAGGTGTGAGAGAAATACAGAGGAATCAATGCGGAGATGAAACTAGAGTTAGGTATGTTTTGGTATAGACTAGAAACTGATTAAGAAGCACAGCAATAGCAAAGGGTTCTTTCTCTGCCTTCATTCTAATGAGCCAGGAATGTGGGCTTTTTCATAGGTGAACACAAACGAGCTGGGCTCAGTTCAGCTCTGAGACGATTTCTGTCCACACTTTGAGATGTCCACACCCTCAGAGTGAGGAACGGGCTGACAGACGCGTTTCACACAGTGATTTGTGATCCAGCGCTGACCAGCCACAAGGATGTTATTTTGTCACACTCTGTGAAAGGCAGCCCCCTTTTTTTTTCTTGTCACAATCCTCAAGTGTGTGTTGGGGGGGAAATTAGCATTGTTTCAGACATCACTTCCCCTGTCCAGCGGCACGGCTCTCCCATTTTACCTCCTGCTCCCTCTCTTACAGCCCCACTGTGCCTCGGTAGTGTGTCCCTGTGTGCCGTCTAGGAACTGCATTTCAAGTCACTCAGGTGGTCCATTCTTAGTTAAGCCCATGTCATTGCAAAAGCAGTTTCAAGTTCACAGAATTTTACAACCGAGTGGGCGCTGAATCAGTCTTGACGAATACCTATTGAATGCTGGTAGCGTTAATCTCGTCAGCTACTACTAATACCCGCGGTTGCCAAATGAAATCCAGGTGTATGCAGAGAGGTTAAGTGACTCAAACTTTCGAACCCCTTCCTGCCTCAGCCTCCTAGAGTGCTGGCCTAACCCTACTTTCTTCCAGGCGTCCTCCAACTGGCAAGGATGAACAAAGGCTGAAAGGACAGTGAGCCAGAAGCTGAGGTCTAGGAGGCTGCATATCCGCATCCCCTTCGCGATCTGCTGCCACATCCTTTCATCTCCTTCTGGCCTGGAGACTCACTACCTCCAGTCTCTCTTCCCCTTTTTGACCCTCAGAGTCGCCATCGTGTGCTCAAGGCTGGAGATGAGTCAGTCATTCGGTCTGGATCCACCAGAAACCGCAGCTGAGCTACCAGCCAACCCTCCTCCTCCCATTTCCAGAGGACACCTGATCTCACCCAGACCCCCCAAAGCAGCCTGCGGTCACAATCGCCCCTCTTCACAGGTCCAGCATCAACACAAAACAAGACCCATCCTCTAGCTCTGCGCCCTTTTTCCCCGCCCCCTCCGGATGGGTCTTACCCAATAGCATCTTGGCCCAGGGGTCAAAGACGTCAAAAGCAACCAATTGGCGAAGAATTCTCTTTTATAGGCGCCCGCCTCCATTCTGAGGAGCAGTTCTACTGACCAATGGACTGCCAACCAGGTGCAAAGAAAGCGCAAGGGAAATAGAGTAGCGGTTGAGCTACCCAATGAGCAGGCGGGTTCCCGTGGTTAGGGGCGTGGCAGAGTCGGTCGCCAGGGGCGTGGCAGCAGTTGCTTGGGCGGGGCCGGTAGCGGCGGGATATGCTCAGGCCAGGGGTTCCGGCTGTATATTCCATGAGCGCAGCCGGCAGCCGCGGAGCTGCGGGAACCGGACTGGGGCGAGCCGGACAGCTGTAGCCATCCACGTTCAGGTAAAGCCACAGTCGAGCGAGCTTCGTGGGCGGGAGATCGCTCCCCGGAGCTGTCGGGCCCAAAACCCGAGCCCACGGTCTCCAGCGTGGCCCGGTCCGTCACCCCGCAACCCGCGCGCGCGGGGTCCTTGGGGACTCTTGGGAGGCTGTCACTCGGCGCCTCGGGCGTCCCAGGGCCGGCTCGCCCGGAGACTGGGGGAACCTGTACGGCGGGGGATCGCCTTCCGGAAGGTCCTTTGTCCGCTTGTGCCGGGGAGCTGAGGCGGGGACAGCCCCGACCGGGCCTCCCGCGGCCATCCCCGCCCCGCCGTGCGCTCTCCCGGGGCCCCGGGGGTCGGACTCGGCAGTCTGCGGGCCCCGGCTCTGTGAAGGTCCGGGGTCCACAGCTGGAAGGAAAGGACCGCGGCTGATCACATCCCCGGAAATTCCAGGAGTCTCTGCGTTTGGGGGCTCCAGGGGCGCCCCAGGACCATGGGGTTCAAGTTGTAGAGAGACAGCTTTTGACCGACTCAGAGGCGCCTTGGTGAGCACGGCCCACGCGGGACCCTGTGCTAGGCGCTTCGTGGGCTTCCCAGGGCGAGAGCTGTCCAGCAGCGCTGGAGGTGGTCTGTCCGCCAGGCCATCAGCCAGCGCCGCGACCTTGGAAGTGTCCAGGCAGGGGCCGGATGACAGCCACCTGTCAGGGATGCTTAGGAAGGACTCCCAAGGGAGGAATGCACGGTCCATCTGTGATGCTCTTCTCCACCCACGGATGCACTCTGGGTGCCATCTAATGCCTAGATTGAGGCGGATACTTCTAAGGGGTCCATTAAGTTCGAAGTGGGTGTTAAATTCACTCCTAATACATTCCGAAGTTTGAGCTCTCAAGTGTGGGTGTGAGCAAAGACAATGGGTGATACTGAAAGATTTACCAGAAGATAAATAAGCCAAGCGGTTTGTTTCACCACCGTAAAAGGCCTTGATTTATACTCCGGTGGATTTGGTCTTCTTCATGCCTCTATTTTGGGGGCACCCTTTTGTCAGTTTCACCTGCGTTCCAGTAACCAAACCCAAAGGCAGCTTCCAGGAACAGGGTGGGGAGAGGGACCTCCAGAGTCTGCAGGTTTGGCAGAGTCAACACGATTAGTGACCAGCGCTTTTCAAGGGCCATTTGGTTGCAGTCCTATTAAGCAGAGTCCAAAAGAGGGACAATCTGTTTTCCTCTCTTCATTACCTTCTGTCGTTTGCCTGCACAGAAAGGACATGATCTGAAGGTCAGGAGGCAGAGAAAGAATCTTAACATCACTTGTTGCCTGTTTGAAGATGAATTAACCTGTAAATAGTCAGTTAGAAAGCAGGCCAGTCCATGTACTGCTGATTGTCAGCATGTACTTGTGACATTTTTAGAGCCAAAGACCTTAGATAGGACTCATCCAGGTCAATCTTCTCAATGTGTAGGCAAGGAAACTGAGGCCAGGAGTCACAAGGCTGGCTGGTCAGCACGGAGCCATGACTAAAGGTTGATTTCTTTTTTATCATATATTCAGCGAGCAGTCTCTCATTCTCTGCGTTTAAGTTCTGGGGGAGCCCAGAGAGGTTGGAAGCAGATTTTGGTGTGTGACTTTGAGTGTTACTTAACCTCTCTGTGAAACAAGAATGATAATGATTTGGCTAGAAAAGTTTTTGCGAAGTGTGTGAATTATCGTATTGGAAGCATTTAGAACAGTGTCTACCACATACTAACGGCTATAGATTTTCTAACTAGAATGTTGTTGCCTCTTACACAGCTTTTATCCCCCCATATCTAGCACCCAATATTTTCCATCAGGAGCTAGTTCCTCCCCCACCCCCAAATTGTTAAACATATTCTAGATTTCATTTTAGCATAGACATCTGTAGGGGTCCCCAAGTCACACTGGATTTTATTTCTTCTGCCATGGAACTACATCCCCAGCCCTTTTTATTTTTTCTTTGAGAGGGTCTGAGTTACTCATGCTGGCCTTGAACTTTTGATCCTCCTTCTTCAGCCTCCTAGATAGCTGGGATTACACATAGAAGTTACTGCATTTGGCTGCATTATATTTCTTACCTAGTTTTCTTCTCTCTTTTTTAAAAATTGATTTTATTGGTACACTTTTGATATACATAATGATTACATTCATCATAGGGGATTCGTACATGTGCGTAATATATCTTTCATTCAGTTAGATAATTCAGTTTCTCTGTTAGTTGTCCCCTTGTGATTACTCTTCTTAGAAGGCAGGTTTTTTAAATTATCTTTAGAGGGGAGGGGAAGGAATCTTTCCAAGTGATAAGCAAAGTCTGTGATGATATCCATCTTCACAATAGCCTTCCAAATATGTCCGGCCTTCCTCCCCAGTTGTCAGTGTGAGGCAGCTTGATTATAAATGGATGAACATTTTTAGATTAAGATTTCATGAGCCACTGTATTAAGTGCTTTTCGGAAGTTCAGGGATCGTATGTCAAATGCATTTAAGCAAGTTCCTTAGTCATTTGAGTAGGGGGAGCAGCAGCAGGGCCTGCCTGGCCTGGCAGATAGAAGCATGTGACGAGTTCTGGCTGGTAATCTAGCTTGTCACTGGCTTATCTGCATTTTGCCTGTTCTTTTCCAGAGCTTGAAATAAACCAAATGGCAAATGCAAGGGAGAGTTCTTTTCCCTCCCCTTGTAGCTGGAGAAGTTCCCATTCTTCCCTTTCTACTTTCACTTTCATTCCCTGCTTCTCTGGTTTTGATACATAGTCCCCTCAGCTGGTTAGCCAGTTCCCTTGCACTGGAGAGATGCCTGTCACCTTTTATTTTGGGGCAGAAATCCAGTCCCCTTTGGTTTTGCAATCTGTTTTGTTGTTGTTGTTGTGTACTGCATTGAACCAAAGATGATCGCTTTTCATTGATCACACCTTCTTTTCCCTTATTGTTCCTAAGAGTTGATTCTGAATTTCAGCTTTTTGTTTAGGTTGTTGCTTGTGTATTAATGCAGGCTCTTTCTCATAAGCACTTTATTCCCTGATATTCCTTGCTTCGTCCTTTTCCACCTTTCCGCTGGTAATCCTGGGCAGGGCTCGAGTGCAGTGGGTACACTGGTTCCCACTCCCGTTGCCCAGAGCTCCTGCCCAGGGAACAACCATTTTCTGGTGCTTTGGAAGTGAAGGAAAAAGTCTGTCTTATTTTTTGCCTAAAATCTGGCACTGTGAAAAGCCCTGGCAGAAAGACATTTCCAACATAGTGAGAGTTCCATGTGGCGGTATTTCTGCCCTTACCTACTCCTTACAATATTCTGATTCTTGCTGGAGGCTGGGTTTTGAGCCCTCTTCGACCAGCTGAAGAATATAGATGATGTGTGGGGCATGAGGTGCTTTAGCCTTTCTGTCTCATCTTGGGCTAAGCTGTCCCTGTGAACAAAGCAGCGGAAATGCAGGTGCCTCTGAAGTGGTCTGGCATTTTGGGCCAGTGAGTGATTAAGGCCATTTTTAACCGCTCTGCCTCCAGTCCTGTATGGATACCAAAGGTGCTGACATTATTTCCCTTGAGGATCCTTTTTATATGTGTATTTTTGTTGTCTTGGTTCCAGGGCATCATGTTTGGGAATTAAAGCTTCTCTGTTATAAAATGGCTGGTGTGGACAGATGAAGTGCCCTGCTGGTCCCCATGAAGTGTGTGCACAGCTCATAACCCAGGGACCGTTCTCTGATCTTGCATAGTAGTTAAGTAGCAGACAGGTAAAGACTTGATTAAAGAATTGGAACATTGATGCCCTTAGCTTTTCCTGGTTTCTGATTTTCTTTGGTTGTCTTTAGGTGGAGGTTCATTAAGTTCAACAGAGCGAGCATTTGGTGTGTGCCAAAAACAGAGTTAAGGAGATTAATAATAAGTGTTTTGTTGTATAAAAAGTAGTTTGTTTTAAAATTTTTATACATATTTTAAATTCATGTTTTTAATCAGATTTTGTTGTTCCAAGGCAGCTAATTTATATGATGAAAGAAAATAGCTCAAAAGGTTAGATAGTAAATGTATCTCTGTTCACCTTTGCTGCCTGCCACCTGTTTTACCCCTCAGAGGCAACCGGTGTCACTGATCCCTTCATCTTCCAGAGGTGGCCTGTGCACTTTGAATATATTTTATATATCCAGAACAAACTTGTTATAAATATTCTGCCTACCTATCCTTTTCACACAAACAGCAGGGTATTATATGCATACTATTTGAAAACTTGGTGTTGTTTTCTTTTTTTACTAAATATTTCTTGGCAGTATGAAAAGGGCTTCCACATCACTTTGTATGAAGGCTGTCTATTTTAAATATTTATTTTCTGTTTCTGAGGATGCTGAGAAGCAGCCTTATTCAGGCAGCAGCTTCGAAATGGAGATCGTAAGGCATTTCGTGGCTGTTGGGGGACAAATGTTTTTCTTCTCTGTGTTTGTTCGGCAGCAGAGGCCTGAGGAGAGGTGAAGGCTGCTCCTCCAGGTCACGGAGTAAAGAGACAGCTGGGGCATTGCATAGTGAGCAGCACAGGAGACCTCGGGCCCTCCGCCAGGATGTCCTGGAAGTGGGTGGGGCAGAGCAGTTCACTGCGTTCTCCCTGGTCTCCCAGGAAGTCTCCTGGCCTCCCTGGAGCACACTGCATCCCTATTGCATCTGGCCCTGTATCTGCACCGCAGTGCCCACTGTGTTATCCTCACCTTTGGGCATTGGAGAGGAGCCCTGCCCTTTATGGTAAGACTTCTTGTTTGGGGAGCATTATTAAGTGCCCCGCCCCGTCTTTTCTCTCACCCCAGGAAAAACCTCTCTCTCTATAAAGCATCTTCCCCAAGCCATGTATAATTTTTTTGCTCTCCTTGGAAGAAATATTTTCCAAGATCTCCAAATCACTTTACCACTTCCACAGTCTGCCCAGCGCCAGCCTTGCTAACAAAGGTTTTCACGGGTGCTGACTCTGAGACCAGAGTTTTCTGGTTCTTCACGTTTAAATTCTTTATGACCACATTTGTATTTTAAATAACCA